GTAGACAGGATGCATGCTTTTTTACATTGGTGCTGGGATCAAACCTACAACCTTCTAATTACTGGACAACCCGCTCTACTTCCTGAGCTACTGATGCCCAAGCTGATACAGGAAAATGCATGAATACAGCCAAAAACAGGTTTGGTGGTTGTTTTCATGACGAAAAAACAATATTGGTAAAATGCTCTAAAAAGTGGCTTTTCTCTGACATGGCCCCTTTAGATAAAACATCAAATTTACAACTACCTCAGCGTCCTTCCTCAAAATGATTTCTTGCCTTGATATAGGTGACGTGATCTGACTAGTGCTGAAATACATTTGTACCAGAAAGACAGGATCCTAATGCCTGGAAAGCTGATGTTTTTTTAGGAATGCAAAACACATACTTTTATCTGTGAGGTAGAAAAATCTATCGGATCTTATCTGTAGACTGTTGTGAAAAGCAGAGATAAGGATACCGTGGGGAGAGAAACAGCCTGTCGGTCTCGTATTTCTAACCATGCATGCTACATATGCAACGGCCCACTGTGTGTGTCAGTGTATGTATGCTCGAGGAAGACGGTGAAGTCTTTTATCAGTCTGGTTAGAATAAAATTAATAAGATTTTGGCAACACAAACCAACCATGTAAGCACTGTACACTGTATTTGTATGTGTAGTAGAGATTCCTGTTGCAGTGTGTGTGTGTGTGTGTGTGTGTGTGTGTGTGTGTGTGTGTGCGTGTGTGTGTGTGTGAAAGCTCATCCCTCTTCTAATGCATAGGTTCTATTGGCAGGCACCGTATCAGTGAGTGAAACCCCATTATCAGGATGAAGCAGGGCCTCGCTCCAGACTGCTGAACCATAATGAGCTCCTCACAGCAGCCAACTTGTCTTCCCAAATAAATCACATACAGACGTAGAGATGCACGCACACACACCTATGCATACATATCTTCACTGTACGTGCTCTGAGTGCACACATATCTCTGTTAGACCTTCACACTCGGAGTCCAGGGATGATGGGGGAACCAAAAAGATGGAACGTTTCTCTCTGTTATCATCCGTGACTCCCTCCTGCAACTTTCAAGGTGTCTGGTTTCAAATGCACAAAGTATGTGCCGGTAACAGGATGTAATCTAAACAATTTTATATGTTCATGCCTACAAGTCAACATTGAGGTTGCTACCATGAGAAATTGGAGTTTTCTAGTTCTATGTCTTATATTTGATCTGACTTTGTGGGTAAAGTACAGGGTTTAGTCATAGGAAGACGGGAGTCAGGTCTAGGAAGACCAGGGTTGCATCTTTATTTGCAGAAGGTTTGGCAACAGACAATGAAGAAACCATTATGAGAGTCAGCTCCTCCAAGTATAACAGGACCTTTCCGTCTCTAAGCGCGCCTCGATTCGGCTCGACTCCGCTGCACGATTCGAGTGTTTTTTCATTGCAACTGAGAGACGATCTCTCATGAGTTTGTCATTGCGGAGCGGCCCATAGAGTTCAAAAAGTAGCTTGAGGTGATCTGTATCTGCTATTCTAGGGCTGATTGGGAGCAACAGATATGACCTACAGGAATACCATCCTGTACCAATTTTATTTATAAAGCACTTTCAAAAACGGCATGGTCGTAAAAGTGGGCCTTAAGCAGTGACTTGAAATGGGGGAGGGATGGTGCCAGCCTCACTGAGAGAGGAAGAGCATTCCGGAGGAACGGAGCAGCATAGAAAAAAGCACACTGGTCCCATGTTTTGTATTTCATTGTGGGAACATGAAGCAGCAAGCAATCGGTAGATCCCAACGCCCGGTTTGGCACATAGCGGATGAGGAGGAGCACCCGGTATAGCGGTTGTCCGACAATCAGCATGAACAACACCAAAGAAATGATGATAGTCTTAAGAAAATCTAGAGGAATCGGCTGCTCTAAACTTTGCATCAGAACAAATTCCACTTCTTCAGCCAAGACTGATAAATTGATAATTGTTTTTGATTGATTGATTGATACCATTTTATTACAAAATTATAGCTAAGACAGACAGACAGACAGACATATTTCTTTACTTGTATTATAAAAATTATAGCACATATCAATTGATTGATTGCTGTATATACTTTAATAACAAAATTATAGCATTGATTGATTGATTGATTGATTGATTGATCGATATACTTTTATTAAAAAATATAGCAAATATTAACTTATTGGATTGATTGATTGATTGATTGATTTATATACTTTAATTACAAAATTATAGCATTGATTGATTGATTGATTGATTGATTGATTGATTGATTGATTGATTGATTGATTTAGACTATATTAATGCCACCTTGTCTTATAAATCTAATCAGGAACAACGTGGGAACCAAGGAATCTACAGTCTCAGACATGAAGAATATGATACATAAAATATGTGAATAAAAGTAATTTTAAATAACATGCGTGAAATTGCTTGATCTTCACTGACTGAATTAATTTACTGAAATGATCACAACAGAGGAGCACTCAGATTTTACATGAGCTTATTTTAATTACCCTCAGTGAACTTTTCTTTGATGTTGACCTTTTTTAATGTCTCATTTTAAAAAGACATTTCAATAACTAGATGTAAAGAAAAACATAGAGGATGTTGGATATTAGATGATGATCTAAAGCCAACCAGAATAAAAAAGCTGGGTGACAGTGGCAGAGGAATTAAATGTCTGTTGCTGGTTTGAGCCCCACTCATTCTGTAGAAGGAGAAGAAGAAGAAACAATGTTTCATATAGTGCCTCTCAAAATAAAAATCATGAGGTGCTACACAATAACTAAATATTAATAATAAAAATAATTATAGCATATTAAAAATGTCCTAAATGTGACAAAAGTACAAAATTGTGATTAAAAAAATGTAAGGAAGGCAAAAGAGAAAATGAATAAGAAGGAGGTGTAGCGGTCACACTTAATAGCGTGACGACAGCAAATTAATTATGACCAATAAGATGTGATGATTCCAGATAAATATGAAATATCTATCTGATTGATCTTTGAATGTTTAATCAGAAGATTATAGTTACTATTACTTGTTCAGGGACCATAAACACACTTTGTATTAATTCAGAGTCAAGTATATAGTTAAAAAGGGATTTTATTGTTTTCTAAACTATTGATTATTCATGACAAGATATGAATGAGACATGATGGAGTGGATATGCGGTGATGGAATGTGGTGTGATGTAAACTAGATGTTTATCAGAACCTTTGTAGCTGAAAGAAATTGTGAAATCTGGTTGTAAAAGAATTTGTTGTCTGCTATAAACTAGAGAGTTGATTATTAATAAAACAGCATCAGACACAGTCTGTTGTGTCTACAAACCCTGGAGGAGACCCCCAGCAGATCCAGATTGTCAGAAGTCGGGTAGACCTCACGGCACCTGGAGCCAGTAGATTAACTCCGATACGACCCATCCAGTCTTGAGATGTCTCCAGGTCACAACAGTAGCTGGAATGCTTGTTTGTGTCCAAATTGGATGTGGCTCTTAGGGAGCCGTCTGGCTGTGTCAGCTTGCAGCGTGCAAACAGATTGACTGTCAAAAGAGATGTCTCAAGGATGCTTGTTCCAAATTGGCCAGTTTGGAACTCCGCTAGAAACTGAATTACTCGGGAAGTAATTCTTGTTTTATTAAACTACTTTGTTATGATTTCTGGCCAAGTTTGGCCAATCAGAATTTGACACGTTTCTGAGTATTTACCAACATCCATCAGAAAGCCACGCCTTCCTTCAGGTACAAAAATGTTTTTAACCTTAATATGTATCTTATTGTAATGTGTATGAGTGTAGGTAATGATTAACTTGTTAAATCAAACACATAATGATTTGTGATATAAATGGATCATTGCAAGAGCAATATTCATTTCAAATTCATTGATTTAAGCACAGGTTATTCAAACATTTGATTTAAACATCTTGTTCCTTCAACCATATGATTATTTAACTTATAGGTTGTAAAGTCTTGTAGGATTCGTGTTGATTCCCTTTTATTCAGAGTGAGGAATTCAGCAGTCTGGGGCAGAGAGAGATAAGGCTTTTGCTGGAGACCTTGACAGTTTATTTATGTCTGCATTGAAGAATAAGTGAGCAAAAGTTTGATGTGCAGCTGGATCCTCCAGCTTATGTAACCTTGACTTTGCAGCTCTGGCGTGTATGAAAGGTTACTGTGTCAATTTGATGGTGAAAATTGACCCTTTTGATTCATTACAGAGGTAATCAGTGGATCTCGGGAATTGGTGGGAGCGGAATAGGACTGCCACAGCCGTTGAGTCCTTGAGCAATACCATTAACTCGCCTTGCCTGTCAGATGGTGGTCAGAGGGGCTGGTGACACCTCTGACAGCCTCCCCTCCATCACCGTACCCCAGGGCAGCTGTGGCCACATTGTAGCTCGTCACCACCAGTGTGTGAATGTGTGTGTGCATGTGGTTGAATGATTGGAGGCGTTGTAAATCACCTTGGGGGTTTGTATGACCTTGAAAGGTGCTATATCAAACACATGCCATTTACCATTTACTTATCAATCTGTCACAGTTCAAGATGGCTGCCAACAAAGGCTCACACTTTGGCAATATGGCAGCATGTAACCTATGAACCTTTAGACCTGCTGCCACTAAGAGCTGTCCAAAATTTTACTCCTCCTCCTCAGTCTAACACAGATATGCATGGTAAACCCGATTTGTCTCTCATTAGGATGTTGCTACCTATCGAAGGTAAAAGTCTCAACATGCCAAGAGCTTCTATCATCCCAGCACCTTGCAGAAACCATTTCAAATCATCAGCTGCAAAGTCCATTTGCCAAACTCCTCTGATGTAACCCACAGAGAAGATATCTTCTAAATGAAGCGTCACTTCACTCCACATTCAAGTAGCAACACTTGTGTGGACGTGTGCACACACACAGCCTCACTTGACAGTGAGATTAAAGCATGACACAATGTAACATACATCATTTACAGTACACCAACCAGAGAAGATAGATCAATGAACGCACCGTTGCAAATTTGTCCATTGTGTGTGGGACACACCCAGTCGTGGCACTCGCAGCGTGGACCATAGAACTTCCCTGGCTCTTTGGCTTCACAGACGCAGATGCCACAGTCACATTTACCCCTTCCACTGCATATTTTACCATCGGGTGTACGGCAGCGGCGTAGCGAAGACTCCGAGGACAGCTTGCACACAAGACCCACCTGGCTAAGGAGAAGACATAAGGTCAATTGTTCTGCTGCTTTTACAACTTCAAGTCATGAATGTTAATGGGCTCGACACACGGGAGGCGACATCGCCTCTCCTCCATTCATTTTCAATGAGACATGCGCAACAAAGCGATAATCGCGGGTCTCCCTCCTACTTGGCAAAACGTGAAAAACATGCGTGTGAAAGTTTGCGCTCGTGCGCGTGTCGTGCACAGGTGACCCAGCGACGCGATCCCAGAAAGTTGAAACATTTTCAACTTTTCATCGCTGTCGCTCGGACGAGGACCAATCAACGGAGGTTTCATTCACTGACCAATGAGCGGGCAGGATGCTCCGTACATCTCCGAGCAAACATGAAGGAGAAGTTGATTATTATTATGTTTTATATAGTAAAATCAGAAGTAAGATTTCACACAACTCTAGCAGCACCTTGTGAAACATCATATCTACCACTTTTTTTACTCTGAACCGCTTAAATAACCTTAATTCCCTCCAACCTGACACAGCCAAACAAAACAATGGAAGTTTCAATTTTGCCATGGAACAGAATGCTTAGACGGCTTTGCCGCTGGCCACTGCCACGGGTCGCCTCCCGTGTGTCATAAAAGCGACAACAACGAATTTTGCTGATCGCGGTCGTTTGTTGGTTCCTGTGTGTCGAGTCCCTAAGTTTGAGCCACGTGTGCTCACTCAGTGGTGTTTATTGGCAGCATCGAGAGAGTCAGCTTTAAGTCAGATTTATAGACTTCAGAGCAAATACAGTTAGAGTTTAAAGACAAAATGAACAGCAACTCACATGTGGCTAAATTATCACAATAAATGCAACCAGACAACTTCACTATTCACTAAGCTGCTGCTGCTGCAGAACTTCTATTCTACCTGTGCTCGTTGTGAGAATTTATTGTTTCACTTGGAAACTGCTTTACATTCTTTTTCTCCTCTGGCCCTCTCTTTATATTGGCCTGCTGTCCAGACTGGAAAAAAATAAACTATTTAAACAATCGACAGCTCAAGTGTTCCTGCTGTGAAAAGTGTGTTGTCCATGTTTCAGGAGGAGGTAATGCAAGCACTATTTCACACTGGCAGAAATAGATTTTTAGGCCCCGCCTTCTTTCTGAGAACCACAGGAAATCGTTCTTTTGATAAAAGAAAATAAATAAGAAAATGTTTGCTCAACAACTTGAGTTTGCAAGACCCAAGAGCGACTTATGGTCTGAAAGTGACACAATCCAAGCAGATAACAGGTGCAGCACTCACATTCTACAAGTCTATTAGTCACGCTAATTTGTCCTTACAAAATATCAGAGAATATTAATTGGGAAAGCTTTCTGGTTTGGATTGCTACGGTCAGGATCAGAACCTTACTGTTGTTTGTTAAACAGCAGGTAGGAAGCACTGGAATCCACAGAAATAAAGCACACTTAACCTTAATTACCAAAAGAAGATAAAACTGCATCTGTAAAAAGTAAAGAAATGTCTGTAAAAAGTAAAGAAATGTCTGTGTAATTAGTTGATGAGATTTGTATACATGATATGATGAGTAACAGTCAGAATCACAAATGTCTTCAACTTTCATCATGTGGATAAAAAAAGTTTTTTATGACATTTTTTATAGCTAATGATGCAGAGGCGTCAGTGCTACTGCTACTTTTGGATCTCACATTTTATACATAAAGTACATTGACCAGGGAATACTGGGTCAGCCATTCAGTGGGTCAGGTCTCACCTCTTGGAAAAGAGGTTTTGTGTGAGAATAGGAGATGTGTCCTCTGCTAACACTGCCCTGGAGTGCCACAGGGGTCTATTCTTGGCCCTCTTCTTTTCTCTGTCCGTTTACTGGCATTGAGCTTGTTGTTCCGTAAAGACAAGATTAGTTTTCACTTATATGCAGATGATTGCCAGGTCTATGCTCCTATGAAGCAGGGCACAACAACCTTGGTCGAGACCGGGAAAACATTAGAAAATTAATCAATGTCTTTGTTTTTGAAAATATTCAAGAAATAATTTCTACAACTAATTTCAAGTAAATCTGCTAATTTGCAGTTATGCCAGTATTTGATAATGAAGCCAGGATTTTACTCTGGTAATTATATTTTAACAGCATTTGTGCCTATGAGCATTTCATTTCAGCTTCACCAGCTGAGAGTCAGTCAGCCCAGTAGTGAATCTTTTTTGTATACCTGAAAATGTATGTGAAAGACATGTCTTTATAAAAACAAGTTGCCAGTTTTTTTCTTCCTGGTAATTAATCAGTGTTGCCCAGTGATGCAAATGATTTTGATTGAATATTAAAACATGTGTTTTTTTCTAATAAATGAAGCGTGGATAGACAGTTATGATATCAAATTAAAAATGATGAAATCCTCAAAAGTAAATATTAGATTCATACTCTGATGCCAGGGTTGGGTCAGCTGGGGACACTCACATCAGCTCAACTGGGGCACAATAATGGAACCAATCAGGTGAAAAAAATGGAAGTCAAATCACAGCTAGGAGATACATTTTAATTAACGCCCAGTAATTAATTAAACAACTGGCTTTATGCAACTCAAAATTAAATGAATGTAATGTCCTGCTAAGGTGTGGTGGAAAAATGAGCCACACCAACTAATACAATCTCAAAATTCTATTAACTCTAACTTTTCGTAAAATACAACTTGTTGTCTTAAACTGTTGGAGATGAGTAGAAACTGGGGTAACAGCAGAGTTTCTTAATAATGATGTCACATTGCATGGCGGTGCATTTGGTTGCATTGTAGCCTTGGACCATGATGGTAGAAGGTTCAAATCTCAGCTGCAGCCTTTCTGCATGGAGTTAGAATGTTGTTCCCATGCATGCATGGCTTTTGTCAGAGTTCTATGGTTTCCTCCGATACTTCTTTTAGCATGCGGTGAACTGAATTTAAGATGGCATGGGGACTGGTTTTATTAATCTGGATGTTTTGATTTCTGGTCAAATCAAAGTTGGCAGATATATAAACACCACAGAGACCATGCCACGCTTCAGAAAGGAAAGTTCTGATTGGATGAGTAAAAGCAATGTGTCGTGCGTTTACATTATGTGTCATCAGAGTGTCTAGTGCAGCTAGATTAAAGTCATATTACTTATTAAAGCATACTAATCATAACATTGTCATTTCACAGAATGGTCAACATCTTATTATTGACTTTGTTTGATTAGCTTATTAAAAATAGAGTTCTTTGATTTATTAAAAGGAAAGAGTCCTTTGTCTTCATTTCTCTTGAGCTGGAAGGAAAGCAGTTTAGAAGCAAATGCATGACCTTGAGGCAGTCTCATGCAGATTAGTTCTGTGTCAGGGACATCCGTGAAGAGGGTAAATAACCTTTGGTGGAATAGCACCTCCATCACGTTACACCTTGGACCATGATGGTAGAAGGTTCAAATCTCAGCTGCAGCCTTTCTGCATGGAGTTAGAATGTTGTTCCTATGCGTGCATGGCTTTTCTCAGAGTTCTATGGTTTCCTCCCGCGGGACAAAAACAGACCTGCTGGGTTACTTTGTAAGTTGCTTTGGATAAAAGTGTCTTCAAAATGCACAAACACACTGCAGGCAGATCCCACTGAGTCAGGATCAATTAGGCATTAATGTATGCATTGTACTTCAGACATGCTGCATCAGTGTTAGGGAGTTAGTATAAACCACTATAATATTTTAATTGTCCATCGTCTCCTGTAACATCAAACATCTCCATTAGGTTAAACAATTGAAAGCGTAGGCTTACATAACTAGATGCATTTGAAAACAGAGCACACCAAGTCAGAGAGAGCAAGCAAACCCCACAGGGAAAGGGCCTGGCTGTCCAGCTGGACCTAAGTGAAAATCTCTGCAAAACAAAACACCTAATAAGATGTAAGTTCATCCCCAACCTGGGAGAAACACCTGAGATTGAGTCTGGTTTGCCATCTCATCTAAAAAAAAAAATACTTGTCTGTGATGTCCAATTCAGAATAAAGTGCAGCGTGGAAAACAAACCAAGTGAAATTATTGTATAAAAACCACAGAAAACAGTTTTTTTTTGGGAAATGCAGTTGGCAAATAAAGCTGAATATAAAATCTGCCCCAGAAACTCCAGCTGCAAACTCTATTTATATTGTAATGCCTCCAAACTTCCCACATTGTTCTCTCCAAACATCTTTCAATAAAAGTTTGCACCTCCTTTCTACATCTTGCTCTCAGGGCTACCCCAAAACAGTAACAGAAAGAAAAAAAAAGAGCTACGTTTTATGCAAACTCACCTTACTGACTGTAACAAAGTGTCCTCGATGGTAGAGAGCAGGATCAGAAGCAACGGCACTAAAACAGACTGCACTAAAACCGTAGTGTGCATGTTTAAATCCCACAGAAACCTGAAGTAAAGTAGCTTGAAGGAATTTCTAAATCTTTCTCTCCTTAAACAGTCAGGACAGGAAGGGAGAGTGAGAGGGAGAGGGAAAAAAGAGGAGAGAAGGAGCAGCAGGCTGGCCTGAACTGGCTCAGTCCCTTCAGAGTCCAACACAGCTCCATACAAGTGCCTTTGATTAGTCTGAACTCTCAGACGGTCCTGGGCAGGAGCTGAACTGGGAAAATCTGCCAAAACAAAAACTTAAGTCACCAGTTTGACATGTAATTAGATGCAGACTCTTTGTTGATGTTGTTTCACTTTTTCCTCATTGGTATTCCAGAGAAAACTCTGTGGCACAGCAGCTTTATTTTTACCTTTAATAGAAAAAAAATAATATAACAGCATATAGCTTGATCTGATATGGTTACGGATCAAATCCTGTGTTTGGTGCTCAGGAACAGAATCTATAGGCATTGTCGTGGAGAGGAGGATGTCTGATTTTTTATCTCAAGATGTCCTCTCTGCTTTTGCAAAAGGTGTGGTTCTGTTGACATCTTCAGGTCATGAGCTTCAGTAAAAATTAGGGTGGTTAGCACCAGAGCATTGAATATTCAGAAGAAAATACAAGCTCTCTTTTGGGTGGCTCAGAGTAGAACCTAGGTCTGTGTATGACCTTGGATGAGTATAAGATGGATGGATTTCAAACAAATGGATGACTTTTGTGCTCTTTCTTAATATATCACGCATTTTAAGCTTATATAAAAGGACTCCTTGGGATAAAGATGGATTCGGAGTCAAGCTCTAAAACACCTGGGCTGGAGAAATCAGGAAACAAGACAACCAGTACCTGGACCATCCATACAAACATGTATTTTGATCTAATAATTTTAGAGTATGAGACTTGATTCATATTTTGCCAAAGGCATATATATATATATATATGTGTGTGTGTGTGTGTGTGTGTGTGTGTGTGTGTGTGTGTGTGTGTGTGTGTGTGTGTGTGTGTTCTGACATAGAATATAGAAAATGTAACGAAATATTAATAGTTTTTTCATGAACCATCAAAGTGAAATCTAAATACTTGCTCCCCATTATAATATAGTCATAATACGTGCGCTATTCTGCGTGAATCCGATCACTGACGTAAGTAAACAAATGCATTCAGGAAGAGCTGGAAGAGCCTGCGCGCCCCCGCTGGACCTGCTGAAGTGATTGCATCCTGCGCGCGCTCCCGCAGCCTCCTGCACGATCCCAGCACACCCAAAGAACAGCTGATGTCATGGACAGGGGTACACACGGCCGATAAGGGAAACACTCCGCTCGTAAGTGATTCCGAATGATTTCCTAATACATCTCTAGAATGTCGCGTTGCTTCGATGTGTGGATGTGGCTCGCGCTGGGTTTTGCTGCGCGAGCAGCGACATACAGTAGCATGCAGGTCCTCTCTCCAGGAAGTGGAGGGGATCTCATCCTCCGCACTAGGCCTTTGTGAAATACTCTCCTGTATTCTACCGCCCTGCCTCAGCACCTGCTGTCACGAATCAGATTTGCGTTGTTTAGGAGCTGTACTCACTCATATTCATGAATACGTGCTACATTCAGCTTGTTTTTGTCCAGAAATCAGCTGTGCACCTCCTCGTTTCCATAGTAACCATGTCTCTCTGATGTAATTCATTCAGCTTTCAGTCTGAGGATGAGCATGCTGTCACTAATGTACATCCATGGTTATGACAGCCATTTTGTATGAGTGACTGTACAGACACTTTTGTTCATTCAAGTATTTATTTAATGACTTACATATAAGAATGAAAGCTTGATTGTGATTGGACAACCACAGAACATGCTGCAGGCACAACAAAATGTGTGTGTGTGTGCGTGTGATTGCATATGTTTGTTAATGTTTTTAACCTGTTATGGGAATCTGGGGTCATTTTGTAAAGCACTTTGAATAACACTTTGTTTGAAAAGCGCTTTAGAAATAAAATTTGATTGATTGATTGATTGATTGAAAATTGGAGAGACTACTCCAAGGTTTTGGAATAAGTAAAAGTACATTACAAAATACTGCTGGCATCTGAAAGTATATTAATGTTATTAAGTTTTTAGAGCATTGTGCATGCAGGTTATTGCAAATAAAGTGTTTAAGTGTGCATTCAGAGTGGTAATCGCTAGGGGGACAAAAGTGTTTTTGAGTGTGTCTTTAATCTACTGGAACCAGCCAGAGGACAGCAGGTCAGTTAGGCGACGGGCTGGATGAGTCGTATCCCTGGTGATGGTCTGTGCTCTGAGGATGTGGGATGAGTACATATGTCTGTCAGGGAGGGGTGGGGGCAGCCCATGATCTTCAGCGAAGTTTTGACCACATTGAGGAGCTTTAGGTCCAGATGGTCTTCATGGAGGTTCGGTAGAAGGTTGTCAGCAGCTTCTGGTTGATGTTACCCCTAAGCAATCTCAGGAAGTGCAGATCCTGCTGAATCTTCTTGATGGCAGTCCTGGTGTTTGTGGTCCAGGACAGGTTGACAAGGACAGAGGTTACCAGACACCTGAAGGGTTGGCATTTGTCCACTGTGTTGTCATTGATGGGGAGGACTAAAGGGACTTTCTGAAGTCCAGAATGATCTCCTGTGTCTTTGTGGTGTGTTCAGGTTCATCTTTTAGCTGAACACCCCGCAGACAGCTACAAGACCTCATCTCTGTAAGCAGATTCATTTCCTCCTGAGATCCGCTGCAACACAGTCGTCTCATCAGCATTTGTGTTGCTTTGTAAATAATGCTAAACTAAAATCACTGCTAGTAAGGGCGGTTTAATTAGTTGACTGTCCTTTTCATTCTATCAAAGCCAGATTATCTTGTGACCTCTGCGTAAGCTCTTTAAAAAGTTGCTAATGGCTCATCTTCATTTTCATGACATGAGATTCTTTCCTATAATTTGAAGACAGGGACACAGAATTGTTCCCTGAACAAGTTAGCTTAAAGTAGATTTCAGTCCTCTGCCAAGGTGTGTTGTAACTACACACACTCAGAAATGAAAGTACAGAACTATACCTTTAGGGGTACAATGTCTCGTCACTAGGGTGGTACCCTCAAAAGGTACCATTTTGTACGATCAACTGTGGGTACAAATTTGTACCCTTAATTTAAATTACAATGAAAGGGAAACATGCAGAAAGATTGCAGGCCAGGGTGTGAACCTGGGACCTCCTACTGACAAGGCTACTGCACTAACCACTACACCATTATGGAAACTAGGGCTGCACGATATTAGGAAAACCTGTAATATTCGATAACAGTGCTTACTATTGCGATATCGATATTACTCGCGATAAATGAACAAATACTAAAGTATGCAGTGTTGATGTCGTCTGGTGTGTGACGTCTGCTCTGGGTTCAAAGCAAACAAAAACTAATGCATGAATTCCATTACAACATAACATTTTTATTGCAAAAATATGCAGCTGCACCTGCTACTGTATTAGCAGCAAAACAACAAACTGCATGCATGCAGTTTCTCAGTGACTTTAAAACATCACCTCCATCATAAAACTTTTTCTGATGCTCCAAATACAGAAAAACATCCCTTACCAGGGTTTTTTGAAGAAATAAAAAAAATCAGAAAATAAGTTTAAATGTTAAATAATAGTTAACATCACTTACATGCAACAGCAAATTCTCTCATTGCTACTGAGCATTTTCTCCACTTATGTGGTTATGATATAAGGCTGTTGCTGTAACTGGGAAGTGATCTGTGCTGGGCCAAACTAGGTGCAACTTAAGATTTTCTGAGGGAAAGAGAAAAACAATTGTTTACCTTTCAGAAGAGGAACTGGCAAAAAAAAACTACATGGAAAATATGTGAAAACGTTTGTTTTAACCCCAAATTGAACAAGTTTAGCTAGATCTTAAAAAGCAGCTCAGATGATGAAACTGCAACTATGATTCTGATAACAAGCTAACAAATTGAACTAAGATAACCGGCTAGCAGAGCTTCTGTCTGACAGTTTATGTGCAGCAGCAAATCAACTATCCTGATTAACAAGGTTATAAAAGCTCATAAATGAAAAATCACTTTGATGTGTGGGGGAACTTTTCCAGGCCCTCTTTAGCAGGGTGGGACTGGGAGGAGTGCTGTAGTCTTTTAGCTGGAAGCTAACTGGAGCCTGGGGCTAACATCACCAACCGGTGGAACACTAGCGACATGGAGGTAAGTGGGTTGGTTCACCGGCACGTGTCGGAGTCAGCCCGGTTATTATCAGCTGCTTAACGACACCGAGCAGACTCACGTTTGAAAGCAGCGCTGATTCCAGAAACCTCAGCACAAAGTGCGTTCGTTGCTCTGAGCCAGCATGACGAACAAGGGAACGGCGCCGCTAACTCAGCTTGGGTGTTGCTTTCCATCCTAAGGGTCTACATAGGGGGCGGGTGTATTACGTGAACGGACCCATCTGATTGGCCGCATATCAGAAGAGCTAAATTTGATTGGTCAAATAATACTTCCGCGTAAAAAACAGCTGGTTTACAAAAAGTTGATGTATGACACGGATGGAAATGTTGAACCAAACATTTATCGCCGTTTTTGACATGCTTTGTGATGGGCCTATCGCACGTCCTGTTATCCCGACGATGATCATTTTTCGATATGTTGTGCAGCCCTAGTGGAAATGCATGTATGGTTATTTTTACTTCAAGAAGATAAAATATCAGAATGCAGTTACAAATTCTAAAGTACTTGCTACAGTTATTTACTTTTCAAATACAATGCTGATTTGTCAAACTTATCAATGGTCCTTGTCAAAAGCTGTCAAATGCTATTAGAATGACATTTGTTTACCCGGTATTTATGCTGTCAAAACACAATTGAGCCACACAGTCTCTTTTCAAAAATAATACATTTGTTAACACATTTTTAAAAATGTATTGTTAATTTTTAACTCATTCTGTGCCTGCCGTTTCCTGATTGGTAAAGCCCTTCGCTGCCAGCGTTTCTCACCGTTTATATAGTTTTTTTAAGAGTCACAGAACATTGTGCGCTATGATGATACCGATGCCAAAACTACCAAAACAAGCAAAACAAGAGTAGACTCACCTCTTACATCAGCAAGAATCTGCGCGTTTCAAGCTTTATTCGTTCTTTCACAATGCGTTGTTGAATTGTGATCGGCAGAAGCTTTTCCGGGTCACGCCTCACTTTTTTTACAGCAGGGACCCAAAATGAGCTGCTAACACATGGATTTTCTGCTTCATGATCATGTGATGTGTGACATACGCGAATGAAAATCAGCTATAGAGCTGAGATGTTTGTTCTCACGGTGCGGGGGCTCGTTCCGATGCCCACACAGTAAAAACATGCAAATGACGACTTTAGTCGTCAATAGCAGTGAATGAGTTAAAAATCCAACAAAATATTTTACAATTGTTTACAAAATGGTGAACAGTGAAACAATTAAACCTATTTTAAGAAGTATAGCTTTGCTAATGGATGTTTTTTTAGTGAAGGAGATCATAACCAGAAATTGTACCGTTTGAAATAATTGGTACAAATGTGGACCTTTTACTACTAAGGAACATATATGTACCTTTTGAACAACAAAAACAGTACAGATAGATACCCTGAAGTCTAATATTATTCCTTAAACTGTGTTAATGTCATTTTTGTCCCTTGGGGCACGACAATGTCCCCTTTCCTTACCCCTATTTTTGACTGTGTAATTACATTTAGTCAGTTACATTTACTACCCTTTTGAAAAAATTACTTTTAGAAGTAATTTTACTGCACTGTACATTTTACTTTTACTTGAGTAATATTACAGCTGACCAAAGGACAATTGGCCAATCGGTGTAATGTGGTGTCTTCCTTTATCTCTAGTCAAAAACCTTGCTGCTGCGATCTGAGTGGCTTTGCTAATGCCATAAAGACATTTACAGGCCACAAAACCAAACTTTTAAATTCAGTAGCATTACTTCATAAATAAATGCATTTATTTTAGACTGTTTATGTGAAGATGCTGCCTGAGTGCACTTGGGAATAAAACTTACACAAAGAAAGTTTGAATACTTAGATACTTACAGTTACAATTATTCTGTCCAGAGATCACATCATCCTGCCTGAAGAACATGTCCTTTCTCCAAATAGGAATGTAATTGCAGTCTTTGCCACCTATACTCCTACATAATAGCACTTAGTCTCTGTAATTTTGTTTTCACTCTTCCTCACGTCTCCATCTGCATATGTTAAGTGTAGCTATTACACTGGGAAATTGCTTGTAAGCACGTGGGGTCTGTGGGATAGACCGTTTCTTTTAATGGCAACAACATATATGTGAGTGAGGCTGACACATAGCATTGTGTCACATTAGGGTGAGCTGTGCTTTAGGGCAGGGCTCACTGTACGTGTGACTGATAAGACCCTAAGATAACAACAAAGAAAGAAAACAATCTTTTATATAACGCTTCTCAAGATAAAATCACGAGGCGCTTCACAAAAAACAAAACAAAGTATGAAAAGATTTCTAAAATGATTAAAAATAAGTTTAAAAGGAGAAAAAAATATAAGGAAAGGGAGAAAGAAAATGAATGAGAAAAAGTGAAATCAATGGATCCCAGGAAAGGCGGAATAAGAACAGAATAAGGAGAGGGTGGGGATGAAGGTCACGCAAAAACCAGCTTGAACAGGCCTTGACTCTGACATATGTGATCTAAATGCTCTCTAGCAAACTTCAGATGGGCCTGCACATGTACTGGCTTAAGCAGGGGGACACATCTGGCCCTCCAGGATTTGAGTTCCTGGTGGCATAGTATGTTACTGATGGTAGCCTTTAGCTGTTTTTACAGGACCATAGCGTTTGCAAAACGGGATTTGCCGCGGCTCCCTGGGGAGGATAAAGTTCGTTTATAAGAGCAGACTGTGGCGGTAATGTGGCGCAATTGTGGCAATTTTATAAAAGATTAGGTGATTGTGGCATAAAGGGGGTATGGGGCAGTCTCTGCACTGCCGCAGACTTCCGTTTATCTTGGACATAACTAGCTTTTTATTGCGATTGAAGCTGTGATCGTTAAGTTTTTTTTTTTAACAAGAAGCTCCTAAAGGTGTCTGTCCCCATCAGTCCCTGTGCAGTCTCTGGTGATCTGAGCTTCAGCTCTAACAGAGAGGCTCGTGGAGCGCTGTGGCGCTCCAGTTTGCCATCTCAGCTGATTTTGTTCAAAAAGCAAACCTTATTGTTTGTGTTTACTTTCATTTTCAATACATTTGCCAGCCGGAGCTCGGCAATAACCCCCCACGTCATCATGACATCTGCCTCTGCTGCACCAGGGCGCATACGACAGACCATTACCGCAATATTACTACCAAGCGAGGCGGAACCATGCCGGCATGGCGCGTTTATAGGCATACCATTGCGGCAATATTACGCCGATTTGCCGGCATGGTCTGTCATATAAAAGAGGCTAAAGTAACTTTGGTCCCAGCTCTCTGCAGGTCATTCACTAGAGCCCCCGTGTAGTTCTGGGAGGGTTGCTCATAGTTCCTGTGATCATTTTAACCCCACGGGGTGAGATGTTGCGTGGATCAAGAGCGATTATCAGTGGTCTTGTATGGCTTACAATTTCAAATAATTGCTCCCACATATGATTTCTTCACACCAAGCTGCTTCCCTATTTCAGATTCAGATTCAGTCCTCCCACCCTAGTGCAGGTCTACAGTTTTGTTTCTGGTGTCCTTTAACAGTTCTTTGGTCTTGGCCATAGTGAAGTTTGGAGTGTGAGTATTTGGGGTTGTAGACAGGTGTGTTTTATACTGTTTGCAAGTTCCAACAGGTGACATTAATACCGGTAACGAGTGGAGGAAAGAAGAGCCTCTTACAAAAAAAAAAAAAAAAAAAACAACAACTATAAGTCAATGAGAGCCAGTAATATTGCTTGTTTGTAGGAAACCAAATACTTAGTTTCCACCATAATTTGCAAAAGAAATTATTTAAAAATCAGACAATGAGATTTTCTGGACTTTTAATTTCTCACTTTGTCTCTCTTAGTTGAGGTACACCTATGTTGAAAATTACAGGCCCCTCATCTTTTAAAGTGGGTTAGAGAACTTGCACAACTGGAGGCTGACTAAATACTTTTTTGCCCCACTGTATATAAAAAGCAGTTTTTGAGTCTTTGGGTGACTTCATCACTGGTATTTTAGAAAACTAACTTAAATAATTTTCATAAATATTCTGTTTCTGTTTTACAATTGGTGAAAAATGCTCACATGATTTTTTGGTCCCATCCAAGGTTAAGGAATTATCTGGACTCAAATGTACTCTCATTTTTCCGGTGTAGCACCTGCCGATTGCTGCCTCAGGACCTCCAAGCCCTTTGGACATTCTCCTTAGTGCATCTCTAGTCTCTTACCGTCTGGTTGGTCTCTCCACCTCTCTGTGACCTTGGGATGAACGCACCAATGAGGAGCCTCACAGTGAGTTATCTGCTCCTCCTTCACCCCATCCTCCTCCACAACACCTCAGTCACTCACTTACTCAGAGTGTGTCGCATATATGCATTGATGTCAGATGTGGTCGGCATTCCTGTCTCTATGAGCGTACTGTAGATGTGGGTATTGTACTGTACACCACATAAGCCATGATGTTGACTAACTGTTGTGTGTTATTTACAGGGTATGCCTGATCGCATGTTATGTGCAGTGCTGGAGCAATTTCAGCTTTACTTTTCCCTTTGGTATGTGCGCTTTGTCTCCATTCACACTGTCATGTCTTCTTGTGTTCTTACGTTGAAACGTACAGTTTTTTCCTTTCTTTTCCTTTTTTTCTGCATACACACATTCAAACAACATAAATAAAGATGTTGCCAGGCACAGGTGACCGAATCACAGCTCCTGGTGTCTGTAGAGCATATTCTGCTGGCACCTTTGTGCTCAGTTTTGAAATGGTAAGTTGCTGGAGCTGTTCCTGTGTGATTACACTTGTTCTGTGTTCCATGTGTGCTGCGTCGTGTATCACGGTGGCCATTTGGCAACTCAGCGCATTCAGTTTTGAAGCACACATCTCTGCTCTGGCAATTCCAGTCTGGGAAGTCTATTCTTTCACTGCAATAGAACTCATTTAAACATAGATTTGCATGCAGCCTCTAATAAATACATACTCATGCATCAAGGACCTTTTTATGTTCTTTCAAACCAAAAATAATATCAATTTGGCTGATGGTGATTGAAGGTGTGTGATATCTCAGATGTATGATAAATGCAGAATATCAGATTATAACCTGACATGGAGTTGGAAGAGTACTTCTGCCCCTGCCCTGACTTGAATTCAGCCAGAGTGCCCCCTGTTCCTCATTTAGCTTTGGTCATTGTGTGGTTCGCCTCCCTCCCTTTGTTAGATTCACTCCCTGTATAGCACGGCAAGCCCCAGCATGCTGAAGAGGAAACAAAGCTCACGGGTCGAGGCCCAGCCTATGACCGACTTTGGGCCAGATGAGACTCTTGCAGACAGTGCTGACATCTTCTGGATCAACAAACCAGTGAGTGTGCTCACACATGTTTAAGCTAACTAAGGAATATTTTTTGCAGTTAGCTTGTCTTTGTTTCTCCTACGATCTACTTCCTGCAGTGGGTTCACTCGTTGCTCCGAGCCTGTGCCATCGTCAGTGTCATCTCTGTCTGTATGAACACCCCAAAGACCTTTGAGCATTACCCCCCGCTGCAGTATGTGACTTTCACGCTGGATACCCTGCTCATGTTTCTCTACACAGCCGAGATGATTGCCAAGATGCACATTAGGGGAATCATCAAGGTAGACCTGTGGTTATTACCCACCTTGTGTTTGACTAACTATTTTCACTTGCAGTCAGTCGGATTATTTAGGTCACCAAGCAGAATTGGGATCACCACTGTGGGATTTTTTTACTCACAATACTAGTTGGATCCGTTCACTTACTGTGTTTTATGCTAAGCTAAAGCTAAAGGAGTACAGCCGGGTCAGGAGAATGACTGGGCTGGTTAAACATAGTTTATTTATTTTTCCCCACTAATCTAACTCTGTAAAATAAGTCGCTAGACATAATTTTAATTCAGGGTGGAATATCCCTTTAATGGCACCTGGAACTGTGGAATGGATTGGAACAGTTTGTAAAATGTTTGGTAAACATTTTTGCGGAAAACAGACGATCCACACAGTGCAGGATTGTAATTGCATGCTTTTGTCCTTGTCAGCATATAGAATCAGATGTGGTACTTATCTGCAGAGCCTTTCAGAACACCCTTCCATTTGCAGCCTTTCTTCCTGAGGAAGACTAAGCCCCTAAAAGCTTGTCTCTCTCTCTGTGTTGAAGTGGTAATTAAGGATGCCCATTTCCACTGGCCCCTTGACATTTCAGATTGTTCTCACCGCAGGGGCTTAACAGTTTTGTCTTATCATGTTTAAAACAGGCTGCTAGAACACTGTGGTCAATCTGTCAAAGTGGGAACTGTAATTTCACATTCTGTTGGTTGCCCTTTCTGGAATATTGCTGTGCCTTTAACACGAGTCACAAAAAGACTTTTGATCACTTTAAAAGCTTTTTTGTCCATTTTTTTTCTGGAAATTGATAGAAATTTTATTCCAGGCCCCAAAAGATGAAGATTATTAGGACCTGAAACATTCCGACTCAATGCGTTTCACTTAGTTTCATAATTCATTATTACATGGTCATGTTTCCTACCTTTAAAGTGTTTTCATTGCGGATTTCTTTTTTCTTCTTAGGCAGACAACTCTTACGTGAAAGATCGCTGGTGTATGTTTGATGGATTCATGGTGTTTTTCATCTGGGTCTCCCTGGTGCTGCAGGTCAGTTGCACCGTGCATTTCTACATGTCATTTATGATTTATTTTTTCCAGATACTATATTTTAAAAGCTAATTTATTCCCTGATGGGGATCTCTTTTTGTTTTTAGGTGTTTGAAATAGCAAAGCTTGTGGATCAGATGTCTCCGTGGGGGATGATGAGAATCCCCCGAGCGCTGATAATGATCCGGGCCTTCAGAATCTACTTTCGCTTTGAGCTTCCCCGCTCCCGCATCACCAACATCCTGAAGTACGATCGCTGTCACCGGCATTTCTGTAAAATATGGTGCAGCTTTATGTGCAGCTGCATGTAAAAATCTGTCTCTTTGTTGTGTTTTGCAGGCGCTCGGGGGAACAGATCTGGAGTGTCTCAATCTTCCTGTTGTTTTTTCTCTTGCTGTATGGAATTCTGGGTGTTCAGATGTTTGGAACGTTCAACCATCACTGCGTCACAGATGATACTCAAAAAAAGTAAGAATTTAATAGATGCACAATTATGGATGAATGTCTTAAGATTTTTCTTGGAGCTATAACTGTTTGGTGGATGACTGTGTCAAGAAAAGACAGATGAACAAATTCATAAGAACAGAAAGGATGAGGAAGGTATTTATCAAAGTTAAAGCTCCAGAATTCTCCATCCACATTGTGAAACCTTTAAAAAGATCACTCCTTCCTCCTTTCTTGCCCAAGCACCCTGTAGGCATCTCATCTATTAATAATAGGACTAAAGATGGAACTTGACATATTGATCTATATGAATGTGGTTTTCTCTTTTCTCTTTGACTTTAGTCCAAAAGAACCCTAGCATCTTATGTATCTGGTGCTGATAACCTGTCCACAGTGTAAATTTGGGTTCTGATTTAGTGTGCTTATAAATATATCAGAATTAGAGTGATGTGTCCAATCATTTGTGTCGTGTCCATGGCACAAAGTCAAGCTCTCTTGCTTTTCACACACAAAGGGTTTGATGGAAAATCATGAGTGGGGAAGCAGCATGGAGAATTTTTCAGACATGGATGTTAAAAGAAAAGAGATTTGGATTAGTGAGCAAAATAGGATCTCCTTTTCTAAATGTCAGGATTTCCCGCCATTGACCTCATCAACTTTTCAGCCCCACGGCATAAATGAAGCATTCAGATTATTGTAGGAGGGAATGGATCTACACTTTAAAGATAGTTGATTTGTGACTTATGACTTTCTTTATAGGTGTTCGTTGATAGAATTTTAGAATTTTATCCTCATTCTACAACCTTTCTTTAACCCGGAATCTTTTTTCAACAATTACATTAAGGGCTGAAATGTCAGGTTCTTCTTTTTTGTGTGTGTTTTTTTTATGCACAAGTGGATAGTTACAGTCTGGCAAGCCATACAGTATATGTGATTATACAGTCTGGCCACAACCCATAGACAGAGCTCGGTTGTTGGGCAGAGCCGTAGACGGATATATATTAGGCCAATATTTACTGTTTTTATATATCGGCATCAGCCGATATTTGTCCTCAGTAAAGCTGATAGTCAGGCACATTTTGAGGCAGCTTGGTGCTATTGCAGAATTTGATTAAAGTTTTACGTTCACTAATAACATCTCCACAATAAATACATTAAATACATTAAATTAACTTTATTTAGGGGTCTAACTTTAACTCTGAGCAGTGCACAAAGTTCAGATTTAATAGTTAGGTGACTGTCACAAATGCCTTTGTTCTGTCGAGAGTGGACTATTGTAATTCCCTATGTGCTGAGCTGGGTCAGTCTATGTTGTCTTGGCTGCAATTAGTGCAGAATGCTGCTGCCAGGTTTATTTGTGGCATCAAGAAATGGGAACACATCACCCCTGTAATGGCCTCCTTGAAATGGCCCCCTGTCCAGTAGGAATGAAAGAAAATATCGATATGGCAATATATTGTAATATTTGTTCCTGCAATATTATGTTGGTATTCAAAAGCCGTGTATCTAATTTTTGGAAGAATTTACATGCAAACATTTTGTGTATTTTCTTTTCTTTTGGTGCAGTTTAAATGCCGACTGCTAGTTGGCAGCAATGTGCAATGGGTTTTGTTTCCACCATTTAAATGAGCATCCCTCTATTATGGTTGAGATACCTCATGTTAAACATGTTAAGTATAAGTTTGGACTGTTTATTGAACATTCCTACAATAAATTTAGTATAAAAAAATCACTAATAAAATCTGACTGAATACATCGCAATATATCGTATACATTGTATCATCTCCCCAGTAACGTTGATACATATGGTATCGCCAAATTGTCACCAATTCACATCCCTACTGTCCAGTAAAGGATTACGTAAAACTACTTGTCCATGAAGTGTTTCCCCTAGGAATTTTTCCAGCTGTGGTGTAGGGGTGTGTGTGTGTGTGTGTGTGTGTGTGTGGGGGGGGGGGGGGGGGGGGGGGGTTAAATTATGACACGTCTCACTTTTATGTTAGTATTGTTTTATTTGATGCACTACACTTTGAACTGCACCAGTCCAGCAACTGCTGCATTTTAATAACTAGTATTAAAGGTGAATACACCAATATTTGCACACAAAAAAATTGTGTTTTAAACTCAGTGACACACTTTGCAGGGGGGTTGGCATTTAATTTTTCTTGGCGTCTGGAAAAACATCTCCTTTTGCCCCCCTTTATTTGACTTTCTTCCCCCTTTATTTTGGTCCAAGACCATTACCGGGCTGGCCCCATTAAAAACATTCTACACCCCTGCTTAGTAGACTTCTTGAAAGAGCAGGTCAAGTGTGCCTCGGAGTCCTTCTCCACCCACATATCAATTTAAAAAAATGCAACATTAGTAGGCGTTGCCTGGAGGACCGAGAGGGCGGAGCCGCGGCAGTGACGAAGACGATGGCTAACAAGACGATGCTAGCTCCCTTCACTTTGAGCAGTCATTAGAAGTGGAGGACGTTCCTCCCCCTCCTTACCCAGACACTCGAGAAGAAAGGGACCTAGTCTGTTTGGAGGAGACAAGCGGACCTGAGCCTTATTGTTTTGAGCTTGTGAGTTGCCTGAAACTAGCGGAACCGACCCAATAGAACCAGCTTTGAATGGTAAGTTGCCATTAGCCATAGCATTGGATTAGCTCCACGGCCCTAGAGAGCTAGTATTCAGCATGTTTTAGAGGTTCATCTGCTTCAACACACCTGGTTTTAATCAGCAGCAAATAGCTGAGCTGCTTAACAGCTAATCTAACCTGTTAAAGCAGGAAAACCACTGAAACGTGCTGGATAGCAGCTCTCCAGGAGCCCTGAGCTCAAGTTACTGTCTGCTGCATAGAAAGTTATGAAAATACCCCATGAGAAAATTACAGGTGTGTGAGGACATCCTCATGCTGTCACAGCCAGATGACAGGAGTTATCAGGTGATCAGCCAGGCTAATGATGAGATGCAGAAAGGAAACAAATCCAGGACAGTGTACAATAATCTGTGGTGTTGCTCACCTTATGTGCTCTTATAAGTATTAACGTGTGCCTGCCTCATGGTGTAGAGTCCATATTTTGCTGAGTGTCCTGCAATAATGCAGGTTATTAGTTAATTTAATTTTAATTGCAAAAACAAAATATTTAATGTAAAAGTTATTTACCAGGTGAATCAGCTCACACGTCACCACCAAGTGTCACAGGGCCAGAATCAGTAGCCTCCTTCATGATGTCATGATGTAATCACATACTTATTTAATTGTTATTATCTTAAAAATTCTGAAATGTTTTAATTTTTTTTACCTTGAACAGTTCACTGAGCTTGCACTGTCACTGAGGTGGAAGCTGGAATCAACAGCAGACACCTCACATCTTGGTCTTTTCAGGGGTGTGGACGCTGCTCTGGGACTTTCTGGAAGATGAATTTCCGTCATGGTCCCTGTGTCACAAGACACACTGCGGCTGTGAGCTCTATTCTGGCTGGCTATGTAAAAAACAAAGAAACAGCACATTTATAAATGTTCAAAAGAGCATAAAATCACGTGTAACAATAATCTGTAAAACAAATTAAAACTAGAAGGTAATAATAAAATGTTTACATAGAAGATTATTAAAAATAATTCACCTTTGCTACGGGTAAGGCTTCACGTCAGCCTGGACAAGTACATTCTTGCAGCTAAATCAGTCTGACAGCCAATGTCTTGGGTAGATTTAGCCTGAAAAAAAAAGCACATTGTTGTTGGGAGTTTATAAAGTCAGATAATATACAAAAGAAACTGTCCTATATAGGCGCTTTATAACATTCCTAGTGTGTGATCGTTGTTATAACGTAAAAGTCAGTCACACATGATGTGGAGAGCCTGAAATGCGACCCCCTGAACAGAAGTCCTTACAGAACCGGGTCACAAGCTGGATTTCACGCTGTAATGCTGTCTGTCAACTAGTGCTGCGTCAGTTAGAGCCACTGTTGCAGAATTGCCGACTGACTAGCTAAAGGAAGTGAACCACGTCTCTCAAACTTTGCATTTAGGTAGGGAATTGTCTTTAGAAGATGTTAAAACGTTTATTTAGCATACTCACCTCAGACTGGAGCCCGCCGTGGTGGGGGAGCAGAGTCGGTGGGCTGCATCTAAATCGCGGAAGAGCCACGGTGGGCACAGCCTCCCTCTTCAAACGGAGACGTGCAGAATCGCGGGTAAAATGCCCACAGAGCCACCACAACCATACTACATTACACCTACTCACCATACTAACACGATATGGAGCACTAAACCCGAACTACTTTCCCAATTACACTAACAGCCAAACACTAACTAAACTACAATATCCAACAGCCAAACTAACACTAAATAAGTATTTATAACACTAAAAGCTATGCTAAAGACTAGGATATGCTAATGCTATATGCTAATGCTGAACTACGGCTAACCGTCCTACACTCGCTTGCAAATCCAACTCCCAACTCGCCACAAGGCGTGGCCGAGACGCTCGTTGCTTTTATAACTTTGACACAGAGCTGCTACGTAGTACTCTACTGGTTTACGTAGTATCTTACTCTTTAGCCATTGGCTAAAATTTATTCAAAATGAGTCAAATTCTATGTTTTAAGCTGAAGGTGGAGCTATACTGTGGTATTTAGGCAGAATTTTTAATTTTTAAAGAAAATGCACCAAAATGCTAAAATAATGAATACACACATTTAAAACACTATTAGACACTCATTTATACAGCTCATCAGCAAAAAAAAAAAAGTTAATTTAGACGTTACTTGCTCTTGAAGTATTTTTAAGCCAGTATAAAAATGACTGAAATACAAATTTACATATTTGGCATTATTGACCAATATCTTTGATTTAATTTATTTGTTAAGAACATCAAGATGCATTACAGTGAACATTATAATAAAGTAAATGTTTCTAGTGCAGAGAGGAGACAACACATAGCACAGATTTGATCTCATTTCAGAGATAAATAGAACAGGTCAGATGCATCTAATAAATAAAATCACTAACAAACTCAGGAATCTGTTTCTTTGCTTCATTGTTCTGGTGCTGAAAATATCACTAATGTGGATCAAACACAGATGAATGCACCTTATTATTTATTATTTGGAAATTAGTGGGTGTGGTTTACATAAATACATAAATACTATTTTAAATCTGAAATTGATATGGATTGATCAGAAGTTGCTATGTGTATTTGAAAACTATTTACAGAGCATCCTAAGAATTTAGATTAAATCTTTTTGATCACAATAGTAAAGGAACTATTACAGAACAAGTTTTTCAGTAAAATCAGAACGTTGTTATTTAAGTGCATGAATTAATACATCTGAACTCATGCAGTAGGAACTAGGAAATATGAAATACTAGAACCAGACACAACTTTTAAATTATTTTTTATTTTAATTTGATTAAACTTATTTTTTTTTCCTAACGTTGTTGGCATTTTTCTCACGCACATTTAAACAAATTAATGTTGATTAAGGTGTGTGTGTGTGTGTGTGTGTGTGTGTGTGTGTGTGTGTGTGTGTGTGTGTGTGTGTGAGAGAGAGAGAGAGAGAGAGAGAGAGAGAGAGAGAGAGAGAGAGAGAGAGAGAGAGAGAGAGAGAGAGAGAGAGAGAGAGAGAGAGAGAGAGAGAGAGAGAGAGAGAGAGAGAGAGAGAGAGAGAGAGAGAGAGAGAGAGAGAAAATAATTTTTTTTTAAAACCCGACCGGAGAGGAGGCAGTGACCGACGCATGCACGAGCCATTTTCTGCTCTGTCTTGTCAAATGCACCACGTACGTTACGAAATAAGTTACTTTAAATATTGAACTGAAAAAGAGGCGAGCTGAAGAAAACCTACGGAGTACTGAAGAAATGTGAGCAACAGTGAACCAAGCACTGTTCCTTTTCACCCTGTACACCTCAGACTTCCAGTACAAATCAGAGACCTGTCATCTACAGAAATACTCAGATGACTCTGCAGTTGTCGGGTGTATCAGAGATGGACAGGAAGCTGAGTACAGAGAGCTGGTGGAGCACTTTGTGGCATGGTGTGGAAACAATCATCTGACCTTGAACGTGAACAAAACAAAGGAGATGAATTTAGACTTCAGAAGAAACAGGGTGGAGTCAAACACAGTTTCCATCATGGGAGAAGAAGTGGAGGTGGTTGAGGAATACAAATACTTTGGAGTTCACCTGGACAACAGACTGGACTGGAGAAAGAACAGCAAGCCGTTTACAAGAAGGGCCACAGCAGACTGCACTTCTTGAGGATGCTTAGGTCCTTCAATGTCTGTAGCAAGATGCTGCACATCTTCTACAAGTCTGTTGTTGAGAGTGTAATCTCTTCAGCCTTCGTCTGTTCGGGTAGCAGCATCAGAAGCAGGGACCTGAAAAGGCTCAACAGCCTAATAAAAAAGGCTGGTTCTGTTCTGGGGACGACTGTGGAACCGCTGGAGGAGATAATGCAAAGAAGTATTCTTCAGAGAATCAAGAAAATTATGGACAACCCTGAGCATTCTCTTCACAAGACTGTCCGACAACGGAAGAGTGTCTTCAGTCAGAGGCTTCTTCAGTTTCACTGCAACACTGACCGCTGCTGGAGATCCTTCCTGCCAACAGCCATTGTAATATACAATAACTCTTTGATCACTTGATTATTATTATTATTATGAGCTACTACAGCAATCAATTTCCCTCTGGGATTAATAAAGTATTTTTAAATTGAATTGAATTTAATTATTATTTACTCATTTTGTTATTCATATCATTTAATTTAGAAAGCTCATCCGTCTTGTGCTGTGAATAAAAACCAGTCTTAGATAAGAGTGAGCTCGGAGGGACCTTGGCCAAGTAACAGTATCTTTCTTGCAGATTAAAGCACCAGTTAAGACTTCATTTTCATTTAATTTCGTATATTTATTTATAAAGCCCCTTCTGCGACCAATGCAGACGCACACGGTGCTGAACACAACACAATAAAAACATAAAACCATCAGAATAAAATATAGCAATCGTAAAACCAACATAAAAAAACTAAGAGAGGAGAGTAAAAACAAAAAAATACAATCCTGAAAAAGATTAAGAGGCCGGGGCATCGAAACCAGGTAAAAATTGCTAATCCTGGAATGCCTCGACAAAAAAATCAATAAATGGGTCTTAAGATGAGTCTTAAAAACCCCCAATGAGGGTGACTGACACACCACCAAAGGCAACTGGTTCTAAAGTGCAGGTGCCAACACCGAGAATGCACGGTCCCCCCATGACCTGCACTTGGTGCGCGGAACCATCAACAACTCCCTGCCAGCTGAGCGAAGGGTCTGCGAGGGGGCATTTCTATGCAAAAGGTTGCCAACATATGCTGGAGCCGTTCCTTGTAAGGCCTTGTATGCCAGTACCAATACCTTTAATTTTGCCCTGTATTGCACAGGCAGCCAATGAAGGGATGCCAACACAGGGGTGATATGCTCCCTGCGCCTAGTGCCTGTCACAAACCTAGCGGCTGAGTTTTGTAACAACTGCAAACATGCTACCGCGCCCTGACTAAGGCCGGCATACAATGCATTGCAGTAGTCGAGCCTTGAAAGAATAAAAGCATGTGTGACAGTCTCTAGATGTACTCTGGACAGCAGGGGCTTAATTCTGGCTAGTCGGCGTTGTAGGGTTAATGATCTACATATCTAGAAATTAAAGGCTGTTGCTATCAGCTTGTGTTTTAATTCTTAAGAAGATCAAACAAATTAACGAATGAAATTTACACACACACACACACACACACACACACACACACACACACACATATATATATATATATATATATATATATATATATATATATATATATATAATAGATATAAATTCATACACCAACTTGCTTGGTCTATGTTAATCAAAAGATTATAATAATTATTTTTAAAGATTTAATTTAATAGCAAAAGTTATTTGTTAATTCAGAAGATCTAAAGATCTTTGCTTGTTCAGTGATCAGTATACACCCACTCCATGTTTATTTCAAGAAAGAGTCAAGATTAAAAAGGTTAAGAAATTTATTACTAAACTATTTAAAACATGACAATTTAAGACAATTTATAAAAGCTTTGGTATTAAAAAGACCTTGGTATTAAAAGCAACCCTGATTTTGGATGAATCTAAGGGGAAGTGTGTTTTGTTTGCGGGTGAAGCATGTATCAGAACATGTATCTTAAAGAGAGGACGCGTTCTGGGTGAAAAAGAATTTGGTTTTGTCAATAAGCTAAGTTGTTCTTATTAAAGAGCATTCAGACGCAATCTGTGTTCTACCTCACCCTCTGGCGACCCTCGTTGTGCATCCAGAGGTCAGAGGAGGATGTTGAGCAGCCTCAGGGTACTGGGTCCGGTAGGGAAGACCGATGGTACCGACTCTTTCCGGTCCTAGAGATGCCGCTGGCACACAGGTGGAATTGGTTTGCGTCTGCATATTCTTAAGGAACCTCGTAGCATCAGCTTTGTTCTGCAGATGTCGTTTTGTTGTGTTGAAGCAATTCCTGCCAGCGTGACATAAATCGCTTGTTTGGTTAAATAGCGTTGGGCGGCCGTCCCAACCTTCTCTAGAACTCACTCGCAAAAGACGAGAGTTCTGTTTTAAAAGATGGCCATTATCATTTCTTACGAATCAGGTTTTGACATGTATAAGGAAGATTTATCAAACCCTCAGAAACACGCCTCCCTGAACATAGAAAATTCTGGTGTTATGGGAAAAGATCATATGAGCGCAAGTTACCTTTAACTTAGTTACTGTGACCTGTGTGAGCTGACTAAGTGCACATGATTCTTGTCATAGTTAAACATTACTGATTATCATAAATACTTATTAACCAAATAATAATAATTCATTTCAGTAATTAAACACAGTTATAATGAACCTTGATGATTAGCAGTAAAAAGAGTTTATTTAAATGATTTTTTAAATCTTGAAATGTCCTCTTCTTGCTGTGGATGGAATCGCAGTCAGATAAGCAGACAGGTGCATAGATTAAAGGAGTGGTAGCAGACTTTAAGACTTCTGTGAAGGACTCTATTGCATATTGGAGTAGTAACCAGGGCAACGTGAACCAGGTTGTGTGTCTGACCTGTGAGTCTTAAAACCAGGCCATTACGTGAAGTTACAGCGTAAATTAAAAAACAAGATCGCACAACCTGGTTGATTTGCACGTTGAATTTAAAGGCTGAGTCCAGTTGTACTCCCATTTTTTGGATGGTGGTCTTCACATTAGATGCTAAAGGGCCCAGATTCACAGCATCGCATGGGCATGTAGACATGCCAGGGCTAAGTACAATTACTTCAGTCTTAGTGCCATTCTGATGTAAAAGGTTTGTAGGAATCCAGGAGCGCACATCCTCAAAAGCATTTACAATCTTTGATATTGATCCATCGACGACCTATCTCACATCTACCTTTGTAGATGTGAGATAGATCTGTAATTGGCTAACACAGTTTCCTCCACCCCCTTCTTTTTCAACAGCAGTCATACAACAGCCCTCTTAAAAGTAAGGGGGACCACACAAGAGGCCAGACTGGTATTTAAGATAACCAGTATACAGTATATGGGGCTAGAACAGAAAAAGCCTCCTTAAGCATCCTTGGGGGAAGAGCATCATAAGGGGAACCAGAAGGTTTTTGCTTAGAAATTAGTTTCTCTAACTCTGTTATAGATATAGTCTGAAAGGCCGGTAGGTTTGTCCCAAGTGGCATAGGTGCCACGAAAACAGTAGTGTGGCCTACAATAGCAGCCTGAATCATCACTATCATGTCCACAAAGCAATGAAGGAAATATGCACATGTCCCAGCCATCTCAGCCGTGGACCTGGAAGCAGAAGTTGCAGTTTCCAGTACTGAATCAATCACCTTAAAGAGGGTGCGTGGGTCATGAGAATTTGATTCCACAATGTTGGCATAGTATCTGATCCTAGCCTGTCGTACCACTTCCTGGTAATCAAAAAGAGACTTTTTATAAATTTAATGGGACACATGAAGTTTGTCTTGCTTCCACTTTCACTCAGCTCTCCTGCAGGCCTGCCTGGAGGCCTGGGTCTCATCAGACATCCACGGCTCTGCCCTATGCCCTCCTTTCCTAACCTTAAAGGGAGCAACGTCATCCAAAACAGATGTGCATAGCGTATCAGAAAGAGTAATAACCTCTTCAACGGGGAGCAGGGCTAAGAGAAGATCCTGTCCTGCTAGACAAAGCACTCACTGAATCTCGCCACCTTAACAGGATTTATGGAACGACTGCGCCTCTCAGGAAGAGAAGCTGTGATCTGCCGAGTTGGAACACTAAAATTACATAAAATCGGAGAGTGATCTGAGAAAACAGGCCTCAACGTGTCCACATTGATGAACCGAATACCAGAGGAAATAACTAGGTCAAGAGTGTGTCCCTTCACAGTGAAGAACCCTGAACCCACTGTGAGAGATTCAGAGAACTTAAAAGGTGCAAAAAATCCTTGTCCATCAGCTTATCAGGGCAACAAATATGGATGTTAAAATCTCCTACAGTCAAAATCTGATCATATTTTAACACATTCATAGCCAAGAAGTCAGCAAAGTCTTTTAGAAATTCCACATTCAGTCCAGGCGGGAGATAAACCAACGCCACAAGAAGTAGAGGAAAAGGTCAAAGTTCAAAAGAGCAAACCTCAAAACTAGAAAAAGGACTTAAAGGGATAATCTGTTTGCAACTAAAACCTGATTTATAAACAATGAGGAGCCCCCCGCCCCTGCCCGCAGTTCTTGGCACATTAAAACAACTACAGTCTGCAGGTAATAACTCCAACAGGGCACTCGTGTCTCCCATCTGCCTCTAGTTTTCACAAACACCCAGAAAATCAAGCCCTTGTTCCTCAAAGAAGTCTGTCATAATAAAAGTTTTGTTCATTACCGACCTTGCATGAACCAGGCCGAGGCGAGCCGACGATAACATCTTTGGTCCAGTAGCAGCAGAATCCAGAGACACAGGTGCAGATGTCACATTATCCACATGACGCAGATTAGCAAGGTTGGCACCCTTCCAGCGGTAACAAAACCCCCGGAATACACGTTGCGATGGAGCATCCAAGTCAAAATCCACCAATGGCACCAAGCAGGATGGTGAAGGATCCAACAGGCACGACTGCGCCATGAGAACACGCCCAGGCCCACACAGCCCAGCAAGCTCCTTCCAGGACCGGGGTGGTTTGGCACGTAGGTGCATATGTTTCCCACCTCGACAGCCACGACGTCGGCAGCGCCTCCTCCGCTGATGATGATGCCCGGATACACACCGCGGAGGGATGGGTGGCACCGAGAGGCTCCGAAATTAGCGCGGGGGACTGAAATCCCCCCGGCTCGTCACAATCACCGGGCTGATGAAACTGACATCAGACCAGAGTTCCAGAAGCGTTGCTTGATCATAAGGGATGCACTGTCCACACAAAACGCAAGAACCAAAAAAGGAATAAACATGTACAGAGGAGAGTGTCCATGAGACAGACGGCGTGCCACACACACCGGCGCCATCTTGTCGATCAAGTGACGTATGTCTCCAAATGACCCGATACTGAAGAGGTGACCTGTAGATGGAAAAACACCATTTCTGGAGGCTACACCTTCAACCAGAAACCATTTTCTCATTGAAGCTATAGGAAGCATTTAGAGGCTGTTATCTCTGCAAAACAAGGATTTACTAAATACAGTTTTTTTTATTTTGTGGTGCCCAAGTTTTTGCACCTGTATAAGTTTGTTTGAATAATTATTGCACACTTTCTGTAAATCCTGTAAACTTTCAAATATCACTGTGTGTGTATCCTGTACAATACATTTAATTGAAATCTTTTATCACAACAACCAACAATTTATACAGGAAAGTCATGAAAATTAACAAGGCTGCCCAAACTTTCGCATCCTGCTGTAGTTGTTTCACTTCCGTCGCATCATTCAGCCCACCTGACCGGTAGGACGCTGTGACACAAGACTATTCGAGCTTGCTGAAGCTCCAATGGAGCGTGGCTAGACCGACATATGAAGCAAATTTGCTTCTGCTACTGTCTGTCTAGATTCATAGGCTAGGATAGTTATGCATTTCACTGCAAACGAATAAAAACACAATATTCAATATTTTTTTTATCAAAAATGAATTTGGCATTTCATTTACTACTCAAGTCATTGTATTTATGATAGCATTTTCTCTGATATTTGCTTAATTTCATCTGCTTTGTCATCAAGAAAAGACAATTGCTCTCATAAGACATTGATATTATTACACTGGTCTGTATAATTAGCTTTATCAGGATTCATCTCTATGAGTCTGACTGCCCTTTGTGATCCTGCAATAAATTATCCTTTCTGACCTTGTAACCCGTAATAAACAATTTGGATGAGTGTCTGGGAAAGCAGTTTGAAGGCATTAGTCTTCATTAGTGGAGTTGATCAGCTCCTGGTGACACCTGTGGCAAGAAGAAAAAGATACAGGTTTACCCTAATTTTTTTTTCATTCAGATGCTTATTGTTATTTTCTTTTGATGTCATTTATTTAGTCACGTTACGTGGAACAGCTTGGCTATCCCCGACACACATTGTTCCCCTCACGGAGAGGGCTACCAGTGTCCTGATGGCTTCAAATGTGTGGATCTCGAAGACTATGGGCTCAGCCGGCAGGAGCTTGGTTACAGTGGCTTCAATGAACTAGGTATGCATAATTTCTTTTGGGTGACATACATAGAGCTAAAAACATTCATAAACAAACTTTACAAGCACATGTTTCTATTCATGTTGGGCTGCATAGTTTCCAAAATTTTACATCTATATATGGTATTATCATTCTCCTACAAAGGTTTGTGATATTGTTACTGCATTTAATTCAGTATTAGGAACATTTTTTGACATAAAAGACACAACAGACTAGTTTAGTTTTATTGTTGCCATACATTATATTAAATAAGGTGATTAAAAAAAGAAAAATCTAAAACACTTGTTTCTGTTATACTGAAATATATATATATATATATATATATATATATATATATATATATATATATATATATATATATATGTATATTAAGTATATGTATATATATTTTTTTGAGTATGTATTAGAACATCATAATTTTACATCCAGAATGTTAAAAATGACACAAAGCCTTTCATAAATTAAGCTTTTCAGATTTCAATTGAGATATACTTTAATAAGGGAAAATGCTTACCCACTGTCCTCCAGTTGGATACAAATACTGTAACACTGTAAATAGGGCTGGGCAATAAATCGAAGATTTATCGTTATCAAAATTTCTTCCTCTTATCGAGATAATTTTCCCCATGTTGACAAATTTGATAATAAAAAATGAAAAGATGTGTGTAGGTTGGCAATGTTCATGTCCCTTTAAGAAGCTGTACCACGTTGAGTCACGTAAAAATGTAACTCAACGTCATACATGTCACAGCACCATCTAATGGACAACTTTTATTTCTGGGCATACATGTAGTTATCGTCCATTTATCCTTATCGAGGTGAAATCCTCAATATATCGTGATTTTGATTTTAGGCCATATCGCCCAGCCCTAATTGTATCATTGAAAAAGGGAACACGTTTGAATTTTTCACGTTTTACTCGTCTTGTGAACCTGGTAACGTTCAGACAATTGTGACTGTTTGAATCCCTAGACGTGAAAGAAGGTGGACTTTTTTTTCCCATCAGTTCATATTAATAAAACACATAAACACAACCACAAACATGATGCAGCAATGTGATTTGCGTAGGTTTTCTTTGTAAGTAGCAACAATTGCTGTACTCCTTCCATTTCATTTTGGCTTGTTATTTAGAAAAAAACACACATAAAAGGACTAAAACCTATCCAGATTTAAGAGACCATGCGGATTGAGTGAATTTAATTTTTGTTAGATAATAATGCCCATCCCTGTGCTGCCACTTTACTGAGGTGGAGTGGTTTGAGTTTCCCAATGATTCTAGGAGCTATGTTGTCTGAGGCTTTATGCCTCTGGTAGGATGGCAAGCAGGTCCTAGGTGAGGGATCAGACAAAAAGCAGCCCAAAGACCACTACCTGGTGGTGAGTTGGCTTTGATGGTGGGGGAAGATGCCAGTCAGACCTGGCAGGCCCAAACATAGTGTGAGGGTCTGCTGGGAATGACAGAGTCTCCTGTCAGAAGAAGTTTCAATTCCCACCTCTGACAGAACTTCCAAAATGTTCCAGGGGAGGCGGGGGTTATTGAGTCCGAGTGGGCCATGTTCCATGCTTCCCCTGTTGAGGTGGCAGATTGAAGCTGCGGCCGCAGGCTTGTCGGTCCCTGTTGTGGTCGCAATCCCTGAACCTGCTGGTGGACACAGACGGTTAGGAATGCTGTCAAGCTGAAGAAACAGTCCTATCAGGTCTCTTTGGCCTGTGGGACTCCAGAGGCAGCTGATGGGTACTGGCAGGCCAAGCGAAATGTGGCTCAGGTGGTCACGGAGGCAAAAACCCGGGCGTGGGAGGAGTTCGGTGAGACCGTGGAACAAGACTTCTGTACGGCTTCGAGGAGATTCTGGTCCACCATCCGGCGCCTCAGAATGGGAAGCAGTGTGCTAACAACACTGTTTCCCGGATTTGCGGAAGAAAACGAGACAAGACGAGACCATTCAAACTCTGCAATAAAACATAGATAGGGAAAACCGGACGCCAACTCAACACACGAACAATAGAACATAGAAAATGATGTGAGAAAGCAACAAGTCAAAGACACACCAGAGCCACGAAACAAGAAGCAGAAAGTACATTAAAGAAATCAGCCGTAACAGACCACTGCAAAAGAGAAAACCATATAATGGACTGGAAAGGAGCACAGATCATAAACACAAACAAGAAAATATAAAAGATGGATTAAGGATGATTTAGAAATAAGGAGACGTGGACACACAATTATGAGCAGAGACGATGGGGTCTACACAGTGGATCACACATGGGACTGTGTCATTGGCGAGGAGAATGTGGGCAGCAGAGATCAACATGGTCCTATGCTGCCCAGTGATAAATGGAGAAGGAAGTGACACCACCAACATTGACAAAGCTCTGAGAAACGCATTGATAGTCGAAACATGAGCAAAAACAAGGTAAAAACAACTCTTTTGCTGTGTTTAAAAAAAAATCACAGAACGCAGTTAGTCTTCTGATTGGTCGTTGAAAATCACAAAGATTTTGTGTGAATCACAGCATCTCTGCTTCACACTAATTAGACATCAACAACTATTTACCCATCTGTAATGTGCCAAATGAATATTCATGGATCAGTCACAAAAGTTGCTTTGTCATTCAAAATACTTAAGTTCAATTAAAATCAGCTACAACCACTGCCATTCATATTAATTCAGTAATTTGTTTTATTTGTGCTTTTTATAGGTTCGAGTATCTTCACCGTGTACGAGGCTGCGTCCCAAGAGGGTTGGGTCTTTCTCATGTACCGGGCCATTGACAGTTTTCCTCGCTGGCGCTCGTACTTCTACTTTATAACCCTCATTTTCTTCCTGGCTTGGCTTGTCAAGGTAAGAACCCCCTATTTTGTGCTTTCCCTGCTGCTGCTCTTTTCAAGGCATTTCAAGAGGTTGTCAAACATTCTAAAAGTTCAGGTTAATTGACATAATCTAATATTTCACCTACAGCCATGATGACTTCCCCTTAATAGGATAGGGCTCTCTGCCTAATTAGCAAATGACGGTCATCTCACAGACAGTGAAGAGAAGTCATGCACTGGACTTGCTCAGTCATTTGATTTAAATTCTCACCACCTCTCTCTCTCTCTCTTTCTCTCTCTCTCTCTCTCTCTCTCTCTCTCTCTCTCTCTCTCTCTCTCTCTCTCTCTCTCTCTCTCTCCCCCTCTCTGCCATTTTCTTTGCAGAATGTTTTCATTGCTGTAATCATTGAGACTTTTGCTGAGATCAGAGTACAGTTTCAGCAGATGTGGGGATCGAGGAGCAGTACCACCTCAACTGCTACAACACAGGTACAATTATCACACTTTGGTAAAGCTGGGTCATAAAATTAGAATAGTTTTCCCCAGCAGACATAGGAGAGTTGGTCGATGTAAACCTTCAATATAGAACAGGTAAATAGCCAGTGATAGTAAGAGTTGCCTCTTTCTTTAGGCAACAGGTCAGACAGCCCTGGAAAAACAGAACACTTAATAAGCATCCCAAAAGAAAAAACAATAAAGATGAATGACATTGTTGACAAAAACAACTGCAAGAGTTTATTCGTGCGGACATTTTATTTATTTTGTTGTTGTGTTATTTAAAGTGAGAACAAAAATAAAGTAGCGTTCGCCACAAAGATGCTGAGCGCACTTTCCGACAAAGTTTGCAATCAGAGGCACCACGTGCGACAAGAAAGGCAACCAATTTGCTGGGGCCTCCAGGCCACTAGGGGGCTCCAGATGGCCAACAAACTCTGAAGTCAGAACCGTAACACTAATGAAGGAGTGAAAGCTATCATTTGACAGCAGGGGAGCTTGAGTCTCCTCCTGTTCTGGTTGGCTCATAGGTGCCTGGAAAAAAAAGGAATGTATTGGGCCATTCCCATCTGTACCGGGTCGGCCAGGGCCGGGTAGCCCCAGTCGGCCCCAGCCTGGTCCGGTTAATTCCACACATCCTTGCCTTAAGCCCATGTGGGCTGATTCTACCCACCAATCAGAGGCTTGCTCTAATGGAAGGTGTGAATTTGCTGTCAGCAGTGGGTGTGTTGGCCCTGGTCGGCCTGAAGCAGACCCCCTCGAGAAGGGGGCTGAGAATGAGCCTTGGTTGGCCCGGAAGAATACCAGGCCACCCAGATATGTAAACAACCAACGCTACCCGGCCCGGGCCGACCCGGTACAGATGGGAATGGCCCTTTAGTAAACGCGGCTATAAGATTTTTCTTCTGGTCCGCTTCGCCATACACACTGCATCACATGTGTTGTACATCAATTTAAATGATAATTATGTGTTTCAACTATGTCTGCCAATTAATTTGAGATTCATTAGTTTGCAATTTTTTTAATTAAAAAAAGACTACAAATGAGAAGTTGTAAATGTGACTTCACAGTCTCTTCTCCCCCAGCAGAGCTGCTACTTATCACATGGCCAGATTTATATTAGTTTTCTCTACATTTAACGCTCCTTTCATCCTGGAGGGAGGTGCTTCTCTTGCTAAACTCACAGCCATTTTTTTTCTTCTTCTTCTCCTTGTCTGATTTGATGATGTACATTTGGTGAGACAAGAAGTTGTAGTCTTCTACATATCTTCATGCAAATCCTATAAAAACTTTTGCCGCCTGATGAAAATAAATGTTTTCCTTGCCTTAAAATGTATCTTTAAAATTTGAAATCCATTGTACATATCAAACGGGATCAGAAAATAACTTTTATTGGTCCATAGACCCCCATTCAATTTTTTTGGCATTGGGGACCAATGGAGTCAGAGTAGATGGGCGTGACTTAGACTTCTTGTATAGCTTGTTTCATAAAACAAAGGCGCTAATTTGCTGCAGAGCAGAGGCAGCATCAGTAAACCTTTGGTAGTTGAGTGGTCAGCCTGTGGTGTTAATGTGGTGAGGTCATGTCTTTTTCACAAAAGATGATGGAATGATGCTTTAAAGGGGATGTGGGGGTGTTCTTCACACTGTTGACACACTGGTAGGGACATCTATTCACCTTGGATGCAATTTTATTTGTGTCCCGATCTTTATGAGCCACTCCTAAAGGTTGCTGTCCCCCATGACCTTTGCTTCAGCTCTAACGTCCTGAAGCTCCCAGATCTCTGCATGATTCCAGTTTGCCATCTCAGCTGATATTGTTAACAAAAGTGAAACAGACTGCCCGTGTTTACTTTCATTTTCAATATGGTTGCTGGCCAGGGCTATGCGGACATTCCATGTGTGATCATGACATCACACTCTGTTGCACGGATGTGTGATCTTCATTCAGAAGTCCGGTGTTGTGGTAATATTATTATCAAGCTTAGCGGCACGAATCCTGCAATATTCTTGTCCTGCCATGCTGCCAAAGCGCTTTCAAAGGGCACAACGTGTTGACACCCTTCTACGATGTGCCTGAAAATTTCCGTGTTGCTGGTGTGAATCGCCCCATTGACTATAATGGATTCTATTTGAAGCAGTGGCATTCCGCTGCCATGCCATGCCGCTGATGCTTCCAGTGTAAAGTAGGGGTAAATATCAGATTTATTTATTTTTGTTGCCATTCGGATTGATCTGAGAGTTGATTATACCAATAAACCAATTCAAATTAATTTCAGATTTAGAGACTCAAAATATATTTAAAAAAGGTAATTTCACGTTTAGAAGAATTATGTAATCAGTTAGAATATTTGAAGAAAGATTTATGTGTTGAATTTGTAACAGTACTGCAAGTCAGACATGTTTTCAGTTGGCCTTTATGAGATCTTCTACTTTAATTGATTGAGTTTGTGTTTTGGAATGAACTCAGCAGTGTCGTCCAACACCAACAGCAAAAATAAATCTGCTTTCTTGAGGACAGATTGTGGCATACAGAGAATTTAACTGGCAACTTCTCATTGTTTTTGTTGCCATGGACCATTTCTGTCACAGATTAAAAGGACAAATGCCACTGATACTAAATCATATCTGCTGCTTTCAGAGTGAATGAGTAAATATAAAACATACTTGTTGGCAGGCATGTGTTTGCATTGAAACTATGTTATTCTATTTTGTCAAGGGCCATTAAACGAGCTGAATTAAACACCATGCAAAAAAATATTAAAGAGCAAGTCACCCCCTTCAAGAAACTTACTCCACTCCCACTTCATGTTTGAAAAATGCTACAAATGCTGTTGCCTGGCAGACCGAGAGGGCGGAGCCGCTAACAAATAGACACAAACTGTCTCTCAACAGCATTGTGACATCATAATGTACCTGCTAACATCATTGTGTACCTAATGGCCAATAGCTGTGGCAGATTAAAATTCAAATGCAGTGCAGTTTTTACCTGTGGTGGACACAACACTGACAGTTTTAGGCTGAATATTTCAATTTTAACTAAGATACACTAAAGTGTCAAATTATTGTTTACGCATGCCTACAGCACAATTAGACTCTCGTTTTTATAGTTTATCAGCAAAAAAAAAATTGTTGATCTGGGGGTGACTTGCTCTTTAAAGTAGCTCTGGCCTCAGGTCCAAGGACATCACTAAATTAATGCAGATTCTAATGATTATCAGTCCAGCAATGTAATGTAGAAATCTGCATTTGCCTGGATGTAGTGGAACCACCGCTGAACGTGGATGCGGAGCGTCCTCTGGAACCACCACCGGAACGGGATGTGGAGCATCCTCTGGGACCACCGCTGGGCCTGAATGCAGTGCGACCTCCGGGACCACCGCTGGAATGGGATGTGGTGCGTCTTCTGGGACCACCACCGGAACGGGATGCGGAGCATCCTCTTGGACCACCGCGGGACCTGGATGTGGAGTGTTTTCTGGGACCACCACTGGAACTGGATGTGGAGCGTCCTCTGGAACTGCCACGGGACCAACCAGGATGCGGAGTGTTGTCTGGGACCACCACCAGAACTGGATGTGGAGCGTCCTCTGGGACCACCGTGGGACCTGGATATGGAGCGGGCGGGCGGTGCTTGGACGGAGGTTGCTGGCGACTGTTACGGCGTCGTCGTCTTGTGGAGGTTGAGACGGCGTCAACAGGAACGGGGAAGAGGAGAGGAAACCGGATCTGATGGTAGCAGGAGAGTAATGATGACTCGGGACCGACAGGGTAGATATGGACGAGGTGACTTGGTGTCCCGGGGGTGTGGAGTCTGAGGCATGAACAGGAGATGAGCCAAGGCCAAAGGTCTCCTGCAGACGCCTGGCAAACTCCCAGAAGGACACAGATCTGGAAGGACGTTCTGAGATAGTACATGGCCCACACCAGGGCAGGACCGGGATAATAGAACTCAACCGAGGAGAAATAACCCCAAACTGAATCCCAGACGAAAAGCTGAGCAGCTCTTTTACCAGGGCTCGGACAAACACACAAATTTACTATGGGGTTCTCTATAACCTAACCGAGTGTATTCAAGCCTCAAATAAGATAACACTGAAGGGGGAGAAAAGAGTGGTGAGAGCACCTCCGTGTCACCACTTCTCAGAGCCTTTTTCCCCCTGTCTAATCCTAGGTTCACCTCTTTAACAGGGTGAGGTGATTCCTAAATGAGGAACAGCTGGTCAAAACTACAGAACACCAGGAGACAGGAGCTGTTGGTGCTGCTGCTGAGGCCATCTATTGGCTTGTTGCAGCAGTTACCGAAACACTCCCGTAGATTGGTCTCATTTGCGTCAGATTCTAACTTTTGTCTGGGAATTTTCTCAGAGTCCTTAACGTTGAAGAAACTGGACCCCTGGAGCTGAGAGGCAGGCATTGTTGCCTCAGGTGTAGATGGAGTCTCATCTACCATCTTGTTTGTCTCAGTTTTCTGTTTTGGCGGACCTTATAACACTACGAGTCCTGCTCTTGTTCATCTCATCTTCAAGAGCGTCAAAGGCAGCTTGAATTTTGCTGACTTCATGAAGTGCAGCCTGAGCCTGCATCAGATCTGATTGGTGTTTCTGTTGAGACTCAAGGAGCTGGGATTGTAACTTGTCTCCCTTTCTTTAGACTCCTGCTACTCCTGAATATCACAGACTTTCTGCTCAGAGACTTAGGACTCTAAGCACCAACGCTCAGAAACAAAGGCTTGGTCATCCATCGTCTGTTTTCAATGCTTCAGGTGTGAGAACGTGTGCTCTAACAGACGTCTGTTTCCGCTCAGAGCTCAGAAGTTCACTGGTAGAACCCTCTTCCATCGGCTGAACCAGCATCTCCACACCTCTGGTCCTAAACTCTTGTTCTTCCTGAATATTCTGTTCAGTAATTATGTTTAACTCCCGTAGATTGGTCTCATTTGCATCAGATTCTAACTTTTGTCTGGGAATTTTCTCAGAGTCCTTAACGTTTAA